CTTGTCAATACTTACCAATCTTCAATCAACTCTTAACCCTATAGTTACAGTTTGATTACTCATCACATTTTTGAAATATTTTGATGACGTAAACAATAAATAACTCTAACTAATTTCTACTTTTGTTTGATGATCCATATTTATGCACACACGCACACAACAATTATACATATATGAGACTGTACAGCTAAGTGAATGAGTTCACTTAAATGAGACTCTTTGTCGAACTGTTTGTTCTCATATTTATGTCTGGGAGGTTATTTTCCATAAAGAATCATTGACTTAACATTAGTCTTAGAAATCCAGATATTGTTTTTTTTATTCTAAGTGCAGGAGACTTCCACACTGACTTCAGATTAATGGGGGCCTGTCTTGCTTTTCTGATCCTGGTTGGCTTTGACACCTTCAGACGTACGGCGAATATGTGAAGAGTACATCAAACGATGTGCCATAAATCTGTCTTAGAATTACTTAGAATTTTCAGTTGCTTGATACATCAGAAGCTACCTTTATTAATACCTACTGGTTGCAGCTTTTCAGTTAAACCTTAAGCAAGTTTATCACAGAATGAGTCTATTCTGGATGACATAGATCTATCATTGGATTATCCGATTTGTGTACCTTCCTTGGTATTCTATATCTATTAGAAAGTGAAAACTTTGTGAATGCTGTTTATTCCAAAACTTTTGGAAAACACTTTTTCTCAGTTTCACCTTATGAGTTGGAACTAGTGACCAAAAGTCTTGGAATATGTAACTTGAAACCAATGAAATGTGTCTTTATTTAAGGGTTGCTTAAATTTTACGTCAGCAGATTATACATACATTTACTTTATTTTGATTTGACTCTAGTAATTAGTGTGATGTGTCTAGTCCTCCCATTGGTGCAGACTGAATTCTATTAGTCAGGGTGTATTGTCACCACCATTCTAGGTTGCTCGCCATCACCGTGCACATTGATTTGATGATATTAGATTCAGTCTGCACCAATGAGAGGATTAGACACATCACACTAGTTACTAGTTTCAAATCAGAATATCCACTATAGTCCTTCAGGAGGTCAATCGCGAGCCCTAACAGCTCAGTGGTAACGTCTCTGACTGCAGGCAGTACCGGGTGATGAGAGTTTGAATCTCAGAAGGGATATAAGTTCCTTCAAGGTTGCAGATACGCCTTGCTGACTGATGAGTGCCAACTAGCACGAAACCTAGGTGGTGTCGAAGGCTTCCTTGTGGCCGATTACCTCCAACCATATAATACAATTCTCAGGAAAACCAAAATTATAGGTGATCTTTTCCAATAACTTTGTGTATTACTGAAAAAATATAAGTGACACTTTTATCTGGTGTAGTGAACGTTAGGTAAAGGAAAGATTAGGTTTAATGGATAGAGTTAGGCACCCAAATTTGCTTTTTATAGCAATTGCTTATTTCAAGGTGATTGCTGCGTTCGTTGTCCCCTTCAGGTAGTTATTCTTTGACTTCGCCAAAGATATTCATACTTGCCTAGTTCACATTTCTAATGGGAATCACTTTTCACTCCAGTATTGGTTCACGCCTTTTAAACTACTCTCTTTTGACATTTGAATATGTATAATACTATGAAGCACTTAATGACAAATATTAGATATTAAACTGCTGTCAACCTTCCCCTCAGGTTTTGTCGTCTACTTATTTTTTACTAGACATAACTAGCTAGCATTAATTTGAATTGTTGTTTTCTTTATTACAAAGTTAATTAATATTAATTCACCCTCTTGATCGATTAATTTATTAACCAATCAAATAGCTTGATAAATAGACAATTAGACAAACACGTGCTCTTTTAATTATCTCTATAAATGCTGATTCGTCTAAAATTGAGCTGACTCATTCTTTTATTGATTTATCTATTAAACTTGATTTTGGACATTTAAAATACACGCTACCATTATTTAAAAGCACTATGTATATTTGTTGGAAAAGTAAGACAAACTTTCATTTCTCTTAAGTCTGTGTGGAGGTCAACAGCACTCAGCATCAAAAATAAGATCCGGATTTTCAACTCCAATGTGAAGTCAGTGCTACTATACGGATCAGAGACTTACACTGCGCGTCATAAAGAGCATCTCAAATAAACTTCAGACCTTCATTAACAGTTGTCTTCGCTCAATACTCAAGATCAGATGGCCAGAAAAGATCAGCAACAGGGATTTCTGGCGATGAGCGAACCAACCAGGAACCGATTGTGAAACAAATAGGCAGGAAAAAATGGAGATGGATTGGTCATACGCTGAGGAAACCATCAAGTGACAGACATCACTAGACAAGTCCTCGATTGGAACTCAAATCGGAATCGGCGAGTTGGTCATCCAAGGGTGACTTGGAGGAGGTCATGTGAGGAGGAAATGAAAGCATTTGGGCAGACTTGGAGCGGGGTGAAAAAGTTGACAGAAAACCGAAGGCAATGGAGATGCGCAGTTGAAGCCCTTTTCCTCTAGGAATTAAAGGATAAAAATAACAATAATGTATAATTGGTCGAGTGGAACCCGAATGGAAGACGATTAGTTGGGCATAGATTCAAGAATGATGTGGAGGGGGTAGGACAATAAAGGTAATCGTGGAGTCAGATAGAAGAAGACTATAGAGAACACATGAAATAGAGGTGTGTTATTGAAGCCCTTTATTTCATGCAAAACCTGAGGGGACAATAACCATAAATAATAATTATACAGCTGATCAATAATGTCAGTGCAACTATAATAATATTTTTATGTGAACTTTTTTATGCGTGAGTGACAATATAAGCAATCATCAAAACAAATTTATCACCCTTTCATTTCCGTCTCCTTGACTGATAAATTATAGAAGAAAGGCAGTCAATTACACTTTGAGCTTCTCCAGGTAGGAGTGGTCTTATGATATACCTTAACAACGACACGTATTGTAATCTTACCAGTTTCATGTACTAACCATATAAGTAATGTATTATTTAGAAATTTTTATGATGTATTCATTTGATCGGCTTTACAATTCTTACTATTCTGCGGTAGTAAATGTTGCTTCACAGTCACATCTAGGTTCCAGGCTTCAAAGTTAATCGGATAAAATTGCATTTTTATGATTTTACGCTGTTATAGACGGTCTATCGCTCACTCAAACTAGGGGTATTTAGGCTTTGGTATATCATCGCTTTCCACTAACTGTTATATGAAGATCAATCTATGACTTATTTTATAATAAAATTTCCCAAAGAAAACAGGAAATACATATTCATCGATTGACAATCAATAAACGTAGCTCAAAAATACAGAAATAGAGTTGAATGACACGTCAACAATACTAATAATAATAAGTGAGTCACTTTGAGATAAACAAAACAAAATTGAAGATGACACACCTAAATTTAATATTTGGTGAAAAATTTTCCACTCCTAATGTAATAAAAGGTGAATAAGTGTTTTCAAAAACTCGGTCAAATTAAACTTTTAGTCATTGTAGTCTGTAAATTTAAACAATAGCTAGGTGATTATGGATAATCACTCCCTGATATAAGCTTTATGCGGGTCTGATAGGCTAGAAGTAGATAGGTGCTACTGACTAATTGATTGATATGAGTAGTGAGATACCAGCGACACTAAACAGTAGTGCTTGCTAGCCATACAGAAGTGATCTTATTACCAGACAACCGTTACAATCATTTGGAACTGAGCTCATCAGCGGTGTACCTCGGTTTTATTTATTAAAGAGAACCGAATTCTTGCTAGATACTTGGGCAAACTGGTAAAATATTGGATCAATTCGTAATTTGGAATTTACCCAGTCTGAAGTGAAATTTAACCATGATTTCTTTCAAAAAAACTGAAATTATTCAGAGAGTATACTTTTCTAACATGAACTTATTTTGAAAACCTTTGAAAATTTAAAAGAATCGGACATCTGTTTCATTCTACTTTGAAAATAATTTTAAAAATGTCCAACCATCACTCTTCATGAGATCTGGCAAATGAAATCATCAAAAAATACTATCCAACGAATGATATGGTATCCAATAACCCGCTATATCTTATTTGTATCGACTTTTGTTGGCGTACACTTCTGTGAAGTTCCGAATGAAAAGAAAAAAGACGTTAAGTATACCTTGATTTTCTGTAGTTATCACATGTCAATAAAATCCAGAAACAGCTTTGATTTATCCGCAAAAAGCAACTATAATGAATAGCAGTCACAAACACCAAAAGAATAACAGTAAAGCACTAATGATAGCGTGACTTTATGGTTTAGTTAGTGGCTCTATGGACAACTATTTATACTGACGATTTGAATACATATTCTCAATTACCGTAATTGGGATATATTCACGAATAAAGTGAACCATTCTCAAGATTTTATTGACCCAGTATAATTGCGACTCATACGTATTCGATAGGAGGATTAGGAGAACATTTAAAAAAACCTACATAAGTATGACGAATGAACTCTAAAAAGACATATTATACAATCGCTTAGGCAACCTTATGAACAGAAACCTCTTTAATGAGAAATTGGGAGATATCTTTGCAGCATATAAGAGATCATTAACCGTTTCTATCATATTTCTATCATGCCTTAAACATGCTTTTCCACATAATCATTACCTGTTTTTCATTGGACGATTTTGATTGCTTGCTCAAGGTCATTCACGCAATCGTCGCGTTTGAGAGTCATCCTTTGTAGTACTCTGGAATGTTTCATATATACAATTACAGTTCAACGTGCAATTACTAAAAGAGGAGTCATGTTAAAGCATACCCCCAAAATTAACCAGTTTCCATCATCATGTCTTGTCAGTATGTGACAGTAAATGTTGTTTGAGAGTTACATTTAGGCAGAAGACCTCAGAGTTATACACATGTAAAATCGCTTCGTTTTCACTTTTATCCTCTTAGTGTGGTGGGTATGTTTTAAAATCACTTTTAAAAATGAGGGAAATTCTATGAATGAAAAAACAATAGATTGGGAAAAATATAAAATGTAGACTAACATTTTTTAATTCTTTCAGGCATTGCATTGACTCTTCTTCATTTCGCGATTCAGCACGTTTCCTCCATGACTCTTGGTTTTCATACAATGACATTCGAATTTTATTAATATCACAAGTAGTCTCTTCATTTGGTGATGGACGTTCAACACGTTCTCTCCAATTTAAACTATTCTGTCGGATGCATGCAATTCTGTTCAATAAATAGAAAATTTTTAAAAATGAATACGCAAGAAAATAATCACAACTTTTGATTAGTATTTAATGATTACTTTATTTAAGAAATGGCATCTAAAAGTTTCCAGAGCTATTAGGTTAGTCATGGAGACCCAGAGGAACTAATAAGCACGGTTCGTCCTATTTGAGACTTATCAGCTGGATGCACTTTCATCCTTAGTGAATGATGCTCATGTCAAGATGAGACTCGAAATTCAAACCCATCGAGTCAAATGTCAGCAGTTATGCACTAGGTTATCTTTGATCCAGTGCATATTAGTTATCGTTATCAATTAAAGTTATTTCGTATTTTCTGTTGATTTGTCACACTGGGAGGGAAACCTCGATCCTAGCTAGCATGTTGGCTACTACAACGGACCGTTTGACATTGAGACAAGTTAATAACCGACATGCATTACGTAACAGCTGGGTCGAGTGGCTCGGCCACCTAGTATTGCCCCTCAAAACCGTGGCTGTCAGCTTGAATGCTATCATTTACTACCTCCGGGTAACGAGTCACAAATAGGATGGAACATGCTCCCTGGATCCTACTAAGAGACAAGTAACATCATGGAAGTCTCAAGGCATCGTTGAAGCCTCCATAAGAAGCCGCCGACATGCCTACAGAGATTGACGTTTCAATCCAATATGACTGGATCAATAGGGAATATTAAATTTAACCCGTGTTAGTAATAGAAGTTAAGAAACTCATAGACGCTGAAGTCCTATGTTCCACCTGGAAACCAAGGTTATTATTATTATAACTAACTGTTTCTGGAGTTAGCCAACTGAACTACTACAAGATATAAACTGTAGACCCTTCAGTACAAAAAACTTTCTTTGATATTAACCAATTTGTATCAAATTCGGCAACTTACATCCCTTGTGTCAGCACAAGGGGTATGTAGTCACAGAGAGATGGTTGGAATAAGATATTATATCGTTGAGACAACAGAAATACAATCTTGGATCTAGAACTTCATGGCTAATGGCACTAGTCGATGGATACTTTTGCTTGCATCTTCAAAATGACACATTTTGCTGAATACGAAGAACAAAATTCACACCTATAGTTTGGTAAGAGCCACATGTGAAAGTACCAGAGTCATGTCTGAGGTATTCAAGATTAGCGAAATCGTTCGGTTCAAAATCTCGATATTATGTATGCCTCAACATGGAACACAATAACATATATGCATTCATAAACTTCTCTATCGTAGATTTTGATACCATGGTTAATCACTTCGAAAATGTAATCTTCTGACTTTCTATAACCTTTGGTTATACTACATTTATTTGTTTGTCTTCGTCTTGTTACATTCTATCAAGTGTTTAGGTGTGAAATGCAGTAGGTTAGATTTTCAATACTTAAATTATCATTATCTATCCCTGTCAGGCTTTCAGTAAGCTCTTTAAATAGAAGTGGTTGAGTTGTGTGAGACTAAAAATCTCACTGCATAAAAAACATCGCTACTGAAGCTTGAAAGCTGAAGCCTGAATCCCTATGTCCCACGCGAGATGTAAAAGAATGGATATAATGTAGCAGCAATAAAAAATACACCTTGGCAAATATTTCTATTTTTACTACTGCTACACCAAATATTCCCTCTGACCTATCACTAACTATTACGTTTTCTTTTAAACGAAACCTCCCTGCCATAAACTGAAGCATTTCATTTAGGCATGAAATCAATAAATTCAAAGTTCCCTACTTTAAACAAAGTTTCATCAAACAAATTTTATTTTAGAATCATATTAAAGAAAGTGACTTCATTGTGTAGTGATGAGAAGATGCAGTGAATTTTTGGAATGTAAGTTTGCTGTGAATAATGATCAGTGCTTCAAAATTCTTTCCAACACAATAGATTATACTCTCTAAGGAACAAATTTGAGCAGTGCATGTGTGTTTTCTGGCAAAGTATCGTCAAAACTACAGGAAGTAGGCGTTTAATAACTAAAGAGATTTCAGATTCGCAATCACTACAGTGTCTTTACCTGGCTTGACAGTAGATTTAGATGAGTTAGGCTTTGTGTTGTGGGTCATGTAGTCTCTAGCCTAAAGAACGAAAACATTTTATTGCAAGGACGAAATGTCAGAACCAGTTTGCCTGGAGATGCACCTTGTCCATGAGTGCTTACAGGCAAGTGGTTTTAGTTGTAGATATCTCAATAATTGATGTTAATGAGCTAGTAGGACATATATCAGAACTGTGAAGGGTTGTCCTCAGTGCTGTGAAAACTTAACAACGTGGAAACTTGAGGGGATCTGATTGATTTCAATAGTGATCACAAACTGACCTCATTTAGATAATCCTTAGAAACCGGTATTTGAGTACTGTGAAGCTAATTTGTACTTGCTTGGTACTCCCCTCAATGCGCACCCATAATCCTACCAGGATAAAACCCAGGACATTCAGGCGAGCTCATAGCTCATTCAGACACTGAAGTTCCTGTGTCCAGGTGCTTGCCTCAGAGGAGTCCAAAATAAGGACGCAACGGATGTCAAGTACTTCGGTGCTGCTTTTCAATGGTTCTGTAACTCATATGTCAATTCGTAGTCATTCTTGAAATTACTATTAATAAGTATATGCAGGATGCATGTCTCAGTAACCATAATAATAATCAAATTATAGAAGTTGATCACTTGTAGGTGATTATATCTTACGATTAATAAAAAACCATCACTCACCTTTCACTAATTGACATTTTTGAATATTTATCTTCACAGTGCTTTCTTCTTTATCTACAGGAAGTTTATTTGTTTGTTTGTTGAAATGATCAGTTGTCTTGTTGCTTTTATTATTATTATTGTTATTATTGATTTCGTTATTTTCTTGATTTGGTTGAGAATGATATGAATATAGGATATTGTTCTAGGTAATTTCCCGGAAAATGATTTTTGTTGGATTTTTTGTTGTACACTATTACCCTCTGGTAGACCACCACTTTCTTCTGTAGAACTCACGGGCCTATGTAATAAATAATTCCAAAGAAGTTATAGTAATCACAATATGCTTTCGTAACATAAGTGAGCGAAGAACAGAAGTTGAGATATAAATTTTCAATGTAAAAAGCTAAATTTTATTTCACATGTACACATTACATTATCTGTAATTCGATTGGTTTGTAGTAAGAGACATGTGTCCTACACACTCATTGGCTGTTTTAAAATTACCTTCACACCGACCAATCAAAGGCGTCGAAGTGTTTTGTGTGGGCGAAACTTAGAGCAAAATTGAAGATCTATGAAGTGCACTGGTTTAAACAATAGAGAATTTTCACAGAAGTTAAATTAATTACAAACCAGACGTTTACTGTAATGATTTGTTTTGAGGCTATATTGTGAAGTTTATTGATTGAGGTAATGTTTCACACACACACTGAACTTTTATGCTTGTTAAATTGTTAGCAATGTTTTTTATTAAAGTTATGTGGTGTATGTATGTGTGTTTGATGAGTGAAGATTTTCTTTATGTAGGAACTCTAAATATTTACTTTATTGTATGAATCAAAATTTTGAAAAACAAACATAGTATACGTAACCAAAAAATAAATGAACAGAAATTTAGTAGGAATATCGTTTCAGCGTTTCATTGTCAAAATAATATTGCTTGTTTGAAACTAGACAGATATATGATATAAAGTGTCTCATTAGTACTTGTTATCATGGGTGAAATTAAACTTTTAGACACCTATTAAGCTCGACCACATCAGCAACTTTGGAATGTTCAGTCAAACGAGATAGTGAGACCGGAGGAATGCCACAATATTCACTAAAAAAAATTGCTGAATGAAGTGTACTGGTCATAAACAGCATATGTAGCCAGATCTAGGTTAGGTTAGGCAAAGATTAAGGTTAGATTAGTGCTACGGATAAGTTAGAGATATGATTAACCTAATTAGGGGATATAATGGGCAAGTTAAAGAAAGATTAGCGTTAGGATTGAGTGAGAGGCCCAAATTTCTTATATTTTGGTCAATTTAAAGTTAGAATATCACCAGTGCGTTCTCACTTCATGGGTGTTTAAAGTAGAATTTCGTCTTATGAAGAGTATTTTTTACTTAAGATGTTTCGGAACATGCATCCATTGTTGCTGAAGGTATACGTTTTCTACTTTACTTTGCCTGGAGGCGGAACGTGGTTGGTGGAAATAAAATACTCTGTTACAATGTCATATGTTTCAGATATGTTACTGTGATCTGTCCCTCTCTCCATCTTTATCTGTTATCAGTAGAAGCCTAGTCTTGTTTTCAACTTTAGACTTTTGTGAATGACTACTTGTCCTTGATGAAAATAATCAACGAATATTTATCTCATCAAAGGTGTTTCATCAATCAATCTCGTAACTAACATGAAGAAATCAAAAGTTATTTGAACAATCCAATTCAAAACTACTCAATAGTTAATTCAGTATATGCATTAGTTATTCGGAAGAATAATCACTACTGGTAATAAGAAAAACTGGATAGCTGAACAGAGTCCAATCTATAGACTTACCGGTTGTACGAACTTTTGCAAGGCAAGATCTCAGGAAAAAAGATATTGCCAGTCTCAGGGTCGTTATTGTGTTATCGCGTTGAAGGGTCTTTCTTTTTCTAATCACTAGTTCACGACTAAAATTAAGTTTTCTGACGTCTTATTCTTCTTTCATTGGGAAAGTGTTGCAGATTTACACAATCTGCCTCTAGCAAAGCTGCTTATCTGCGGTAGCTGTCTGACACTAATAATCAAACAACAGAAGCGTTGCACTAAGACCATCTGTGGTCATTTTGTATCGCAGACCTCTAGGAAGTCTATTATGCTTACATGGTTGGTCTGTATCTATTACTTACCAGTGGCTTTAAAGGAGACGATACAGATCAAGGTATATATGGTAGCCTAAACACCAGATTATGAGTATCATCTGAAGATGTTTGCTGGTCACTGAAAAATCGATTAGTAGGACCATTAGTCTATGGTCCTATAGTATTCCAAAAGGCGTGCTACTAATAAGAATTTATCAGTAATATATTGAGTGATGTATTGGCAGACTAAATAGAGGTGGGCGAGGAGCGAAATTAAAGATCCATGTAGGACAATACAGAAAGCACGAAGCGAAGACAAAACAAGTGCAAATGGCAATTTCAGTGTAAGGCATATGCATCTTACCATTTCTTTAAGTCAGTTTGCTAATAAAAAGTTAGGCTACCGACTACCACTGTGTCCAGCGGTTAATCTATCAGCTCAGTCAATGATACACCCTTGTTATATTCGGCTCTCGTCCTCAATGTAGTGTCTGTAACCCACATAATAAGACAACGTACTTTCTAAGTTTGAAAATAATTACGTTGCTGAAAAATAATGATTACATAATTGCAAGTTTATCCCTTCTAAAAGCTATTCCCCACCATTCTTATCAAGATAACTATAATTTTTCAGTTAGCTAGAAAAAGGCTTTATTCCTCAGGCTTATTCTAAAACGCTAAGTGATTTTAGATCCAACAACTCTTTGAACAGAAAACTGGCAGACATCTCAAAGTAATGCAGGACAAAGTTAACGAATACTGTACCAAGTGAAATGGCTCTCGAATGAATTTGAATCTGATCAGTTGGAATGAATAAGGATGATTTAGGTGAGAAACAGCATACAACTCATATCAACTAGCAGTACTTGCAAGGCAGATCTTAAATACCGGGTGGTTGCTTCGCTAGTTTGAGGTAAAGATATTCGATGATGTACTGGGTAGGACTCAGCCCAGATAGCCGTCCAAGCAGCTAGTTAGAAATTGGTTGGTTTTAACTGATTCGACTATGTGAGCTTGGTCATATTAGGTCCACGACTCATGAGCTGTGCTCCAAACGAGTGAAACAGTTTTCGCGTGTTTAAATTACAAGAAAACCCCACTTGAGATTAGCTGTCCACCACGTTTTATAGATAAACACATGAGGCCGAAAAACAACAAACAAAAATCTATCCGTGTGCCGAGGAAGATGCTATACATGAATATGGTTTTCAAAGGTGACATTCTGACCGATATCCTAAACATAAGAATATCTAACGCACCAGAAAAACATTCTCTGCTCCTACATTATCTACCAATTGACTTGCTCACGTGGAGGGAGATATATAGTTCCTTCGATGCGTGTTTTATCTAAAAAAAATCAAAGAATTTTGTTCCACTTGGTTACGAAAACGTAACAGTGAATCAATAAGGAGTGCTGTGATTGAAAATATATTTAACAATTGTCACTCAATAAATATGCAAAGAGAATTCAATCAAAGTCATCTAAAAGTCAAAAGAAGCCTCCCGAAAACGGTAAGCTTCTGCATACTTTGCATTGCTTAGGACTTAGCGATGGAGATAGAAAACCATGATTTACCTCCTCTTTCATCCTACCTTGGGTATATAATTCCATGTTCTACTATTTTTTTAATAACGAGTGTTTTTTTCTCAATTTTTGTTTGATTATTTAGTGAGATCTCTTTCTTAACCGCCCTTTTACTTACTCTTTCTACCTATTACGTAACTATTTATTTCGGACACTTGTCTCCATGCACTTTCATTAACATTCTATTTTCTTGGATATCTTTCATATTACACAACCCAGCCCTTGTCAATACTTACCAATCTTCAACCAACCCTTGACCCCGCTAGTTTCATCACATTTTTGAAACATTTTGATGACGTAAACAAGGAATAACCCTAATTAATTTCTACTTTGATTTTTGTTTGACAATCCTAATGTATACGCATACACACAAAATAATTATGCATATGTAAATGTGATTGTACAGCTGAGTGAATGAATTCGCCTAAAAGAGACTCATCTCTGAGATTTGTATTTCTAATAAATCCCTTCTAACTAGCTAGCGGAAACTACTGGTCGATATGAGTGGGAGTAATATACAACCATTCATTCCAGATGAAAATGTGATGAAATTTCACCTCTCGAACTGTGTACAACATTGCGAATTGCTAACGAATTCTCGAACCGTGAACTTTGTTTTTTGGTCAAACAGGATAAACTGCAAGACACTTTGATTGGACACTAGTAACTAACTAGTGTGACGTGCCTAGGGCTTTCTTTTATGCAGACTGAATTCTATCAGTCAGGCTTGAAATATGACCACCATTCCCCAGGTAGCTCGCCATCACTAGCACGAAACCTAAGTCAAGCAAGGCTTCCTTCCGATTATCTACAATTGCCTCTAATATCATCACATCAATGTACACCGAGTTGGTGAACCACCTAGAATCCTGACCAAATTGCACACTTGAGAGATAGAATTCAGTCTGGACCAAACAAAGGACTAGACACATTACACTAATTGCCAAATAGTGTGCAATTGAAATATCTAAATAAGTCTTACAGGAGGTCAGCTGCGAATGCGAATAGCTCAGTGGTAACGTCTTTGACTGCAGGTGGCACTGGGTGAGGCGGGAGATGAGTTCCTTTGGGGTTGCAGATATGCCTTACTGACTGGTAAATGCCAACTGGCACGAAACCTAGCTCCAGCAAAGCTTCCTGCCAATCGCCTCCAGCCATCTAATATCATAAACTGCAAGAATAACTGTCAGCTATGCATGTGAGCGTCAATATTCATTCAAATGACTCGCGTATAGAGTGGTGATAAGCTGAAGTTTATGGATACAATAAAATTTGGGTGAGGTTAAATGTAAAGTTGGGAAATATTGATTAGGTCAATTACCCAAATCATATCTTTCTGTTGGTACTGAAAAGCGTTCATTATTAATAGTGAAAATCGTCATTACCAATGAAAGATCTAATTAGCCACCTGAATGTCCTTCGTGCACTCAGGTTACTACTCTTCAACTTCACCACAATTCAGGTTGATGATGAGTAACAGTTTCTGACTAATCAAATTTAACATTCGAATGTGATTTCTTGTTAGTGTGTAGAACTTGGGCATTATGGTAGAATGTAATTCCATATTAGACTTATTTATTTTAAATATCACACAGTGATGATGCAATATTAACAACTGGATGATAATATTTCGAGCAGAAATTATCGCCACTCATAATTATATCACCTTTAGTTACACGGCTTCATAATTTATCTTACATACTTCTCTCTTTTCTGTCTCTCCAACTTTCTTCAGTTGTTTGTTGTCACTTTCCATATCTCTGGTACGGGTGTTGCATCATTCGAATTGCATGTGTGCGTCGCTGAGTTGGCCAACAAATCATCAGTGATTGATCTCTATCTTCACCTAACTATACTACTGAAAATACGTATTGAGTAGTGAGAATAATTCGGTGAAAGAAATTTTCTTTATTGACGAAATCATCATCAGAGGTTGTTAAGTCATATATAAATTTATCAAAAGTGCATTAACTGATATAGTTACTCAGAAGTGGTTTCAAAATTAAAAAGCAAAGTTTATAAATTACGTAACACCTCAACGGTACAAATGCCAAAACCTAACGCCCTTTGTACCATTCAGTCACATCTTGTAGATCATCTTGAAAGACTCCTCCTGTGGAACTTTGTGACTAAAGTTCACCAACTGTTCTTGCAATTTTTTCCTTTATTAACCAAAGTGTGCGTTTTGTGAGGCCAATATAACTAGCTAACTGTAGCTGTATTACTTTTTAATACCCTTACCGTGTTCCACCCTATTTCGTGATTACATGCAGGTGACTGCAGCACAATGCCTGAGCTTTTTTCTGGATTATTGAACTCAGTAGAGTCAGTCATGATGATTCAGCGCCAATGCCGTAGATGTCAAGAGTAGCAACAAACCACAATGGGAAGACGGAGAGAGAAAATATGTATAAGTCAAATTGTGAAACCGTGTAACTAAAACTGATATGATTATGAGCAGCAATAATTTACGCTCGAAACATCATCCAGTTGTTAATACCACATCATCACTGTGTAATATTTAAAATAAACTTATCTGGTATGATTTCTCGTTACCATGGAGCATATAAATATGGACTTTTTTCTTCTAAAACTGTCAAGTGAAACACTCTCATCAAAAACTGTTATTTTGGAATTTTTATTGTTGAAAAACTAAAACCTTTGTAAATGTTATTTACATTACATTCAGCTGATATTTATCTTTGAAAATGTCATGTTCTTACAACGAAGGAGATGTATGTTGCTTCTACAATTTCAGCATATTAAACAACAGAAAAACAGTAAACTCACCTTGTGAATGTTATCTGTTTTCTTTTCTAATTTCTTACTTTAGGAATGGAATATTCGGCTACAAGCTTTGAAGTTTCTATGAATCTGATGATGTTTTTAAGGCCTCACATGCCCAATCTTCCTCGCTTGTTGAACTTATTACTGACTGCTAAAGAAAGAGACGTTTAGGAGTTCGTCGATCGGGGATTGAACCCTGACCTCCCAAGTGGCTAACAAACTTCTACCATTCTACCATCGGCAGATGATGATTCGAGTAAGTTTACAGGAAGGATGGAAGGTAGCACTAAGTTAAATGAGTGTGTCAGTGGCACAGCGGTAGAATGCTCGCCGACCAGGCATGTGGTACGGGGTTCACGCCCCGGCCGATGTACTCCTGTACCTCACTTAGCCAGTAAATAAGACTGGTAAAGAAGGAAGGTTGGGCATGAAGCTAGAGACCCTATCCAACTGCTGCCGAAACTTCAAGACTAGTTTGAAGCCCTATGTCCTACTGGGAACGTAAAAAGGAAGACAACTAACCCGAATTATATATACAATAAATAGAATGATACCTGAAAAGACTGTTTACTGCCTCCTTCGACAGGTTATACAAAGTAAATGACAAGAAACTCAGTTTGCAGAAGACTATAAATAAGTTATTCTGGAAACTTAACAGTTTTTATACAAGATCCAAATTTTTTTAAACTTATGTCAAATCAATTCTTCCCTCATTGACTCCGTCGCGAAACAACAATAATGAGAGAGACCACCGATAACCAAGGAGCACAGGACCGATGTATTTTTACAGACCAGAGCTCTTTCGCAGTACGCACCCGTGTCCACCTAGATATCAAACCCTGGACATTTCAGGTTATGTGGTCAAACTCATTGACAACTCAGCCACTTGGGTTGGAATTGAGCCACCTGCGAACTGTAACTTCTGTCAACTAGTGATGTAGTGCTACCTCCAACTAATGCCTTCAATGATCTCATCGGTCACGACTTCTCAGTACAGTTTCATGAGATCTATCGAGTAGCCATCAATGAAATGGAGATTGTTGATATTTCGCCTGTGGGATTTTGTGGCGATAAGGATTAATTTCAATGAAGATTTCGTCATTGGTTTTCAAAGATCTTTCATTGATTTTGTTCCATGACAAAATCTATGAACTTATATCAAATCAAATCCCTACACAAACTCATAACCTAAAAGTCAGTTCATTTTCTCCAGGCTTCAGTGACTGTACCCACCTATCACCATAAGCATTATCAACAGGCTGTCACAGAATTCGCTGGCTCGAAACTAAAGAACAAATCCTTGACTAGAAAGGATAAACAACATGTAAATCTGGCAGTTAGAGAAGCAACTGAGAACTTATAGCTGTAAGAAATATTCTGAAAGAACTGAAGATAAATTGGGGATACATCATGGAGGTATATGGTGAGAGCTGGCTGCGAACAAACCAAAATTGTAGACAACAATCGACTGTAATGTTTACGTCCCCAATTGGGGTTATGTGAAAAAATGAGAATAAAGCCTAACCCTGAGGAACTCAACAACCAATCACGGCAGAGTTGGCGTGGACGGATACGATTAGCAGATGTATCACCGGACTGTCTAAGGAATGGCAACAAAGAGATGACAGAAAAACCTTCAGCAGGAAAACAACCAATCAGAAGACGCCACCGATCTGCTAACAATAGTGAATAATAATGTACATAAAATTCTGTAAATATTTGTTGATTTTTTCAATGAACAATCTGTTGCCTGACCCTTGTCCTCTGTCGTTACAAGTATTTAATTACATCGCAAGCCTGATAGTCAAGTGGAAGTTGAATCGGAAGTGATAAGCTGAGCACTAGAGGGTGAAATAGTCCAAAATCATGTGAATAAAAGGTATTTGTGGAGTTAGGCAAAAGTGAACCGAATTCAGTGAAGAAGTTCTGCAGAACCCCGACATTCCTAACAAAACACAAGAAATCAATAATCTTGTTTCACTGTTACCTTCATTGTTAACTGTACATATTGATTATTCAAACGCTCCAGTTAAAAATATATCCAAGCACATATGATGATGTTGAATAATGTCAAATAGATTAAATCGTGATAACATTGTGCTCAATAGTACCAACATTTACCTGTTTTTATGATTAACCCCATGAGTATTGTGTTTATTCTCTTCATCAAGGTTTTTAGTCAATAAATTTACAAGTTCTGTAATTCTTGCAGATCTTCTTGATGATTTTCGATTATTGATATCTCGAATAAATGGTTGATTATCATTTTGTTTTGCTGGGTTATGATAATCATAACTCTTAGCCTCATTTTGCTCTAGTTCAGTTGAAGTGTACTCAGTATCCCATGCATTCAATGTAGACAGCTTATGCTTTGGAGTTGGAGTAATATAATAATAAGATGGAGAAGATTTTGTCGATTTGTAGGGAATACTATTCTCTTGTCTTTTATTCAATGGATATTCATAATCTTTTTGTGGTGAATTGATGACCATTGATTCTGTGTAGCTATTCTCTCTGTCTTTATGAATTGGTATATAATAATGATGATGCTCGGAAGGCTTTCTTTTGATGACAGTATAATTCCTAAGATCATCATCGTCGTTATCATCATTACCATGGTGGGTACGATAAGCACCATCATAGTGATAGTCTTCTGTACTCATACTCAGATTACTATACATGTATTTTGGTCGATTTAAACAAATCACAGATGGCGGTAGATTTGATCTATCCCTGTCACGTTCCATTTTGTTTTATATATATTAAAGGATAAATGGGTGAATGCAGTGGTTTCTTTCTAACACACCGACCCCACCCCCACCTGCGCCACAAATCAACGTTTTCCTGCTTAAATAAAAATGTTTTTTATTAGAGAAAAACACACAATCAAGTTTTTACTGTTAGCAAGTATATGTGTATTTGTGTGTGTCAATTGATGATGCGATTTCACTAGGAGGTACCTATAAAAGTAATGCGTTAAAAAAGAAATCATTGCATCAAGAATAACTTCAAAATAACTCACTTAATAAACTGGCTTCCGGAGTTGATATCTGGGAATCATACTCATGGAAGCCGAATGAGTCTTGTTCATCGCCTTTTACACTTCCGAATGGAGATTCTAAATGGAAAATTTTAAAAAAAACACAGAACTTATATTAGAGTCAGTTTTTCTTTTGTCTTTTGTTCGCATTAAACGTAAGAATGAATGATAGTATAATTCATCAGTATTTAAAGTGGGTAGATCAGGTATCTCTAGATTTCCTCCATAAAATCCGGATCGATAATTTCAATTGATGATTAATCAACCACCCATTGAGTTACGGGTATAGACCTAACCAGGGGATTTATTTAAAGTACGGCACTCAGATTGTGAGGTATCTGTGAATAATTGCTGTCAACTTCACAGTCACTGCGAGTCAATAAGAAAAAAAAGTAGCAAAGCTGTGTTAAGAACAATCTACAGTCAGTTTAATCAGTGCTCGGATGTCAGACACAAAATAAAGGTATTTCGAATAAGCAGTAATCAACAAAGAGATTGGTATACAAATCAAGTATATATAACAACTACTTGATGTGGTTTTGTTCTCTGAGCTGGATGGTTAATTTGAAGTCTTCAAATTGAAGTATGCGCTGGAGATGTCACCCAGTAGGGTGATGAAAGCTTCGCAAATTAACCATCCAGCTCAGAGAACAAAACCACATCAAAATCATCCACCTGAGTTACAAATCTTCTCTATCATATATAACAACTACGGTTTGACTCGAAGAAGATAAGTACTATGTATCAAATAGAATAATAATAACACATTAACTGAGATAAACTTCAACATCAGATAACAGTTATTGCTTATGCAGTGACAAAATTGAAACTTAGGCTACTTACTAGTGATAAGTATTATAAATTTAACACAACAGAAAGAGTAACAAAGAAGGCATTAACAGTATTATGCAAATAACTTAAAGCTGTATTAAAACGTGTTTTATAACGAATTTTAACCGTATCATAATACTCAGAGGTAGAATATTTCCTATCCTGTTAACTGAATGTCATAAAAAAGCTGATCACTGCACAACATTAATGCTCCTTAGTGACTTGCTGCAAGAAGGAGTTCTAGTGAGAATTCGTGACAAGTGAGGTCCATCCAGTCAAGTGTGAGAACGGGTTTCCTGCCGATGACACTGGTTGGTGGTCGTATTGGTAAAAGTCAGAATTCATGGACTGGCCGCTGAATCAGGTCCCAGTGGCTGAATGACATACGCGCTTGCCTTGTAACCGGAAGTCCCTGAATTCCAACCTTGTCAGTGGGTGCGTAGTGCCGATGATTCCCAAACTAGGAGGCAAAAATACCCATCCAGTTCTCCTAAGTTTCCAATGGTTCTCTAACCGATATCAAACCGCTGTCAAACTCGTATAAACAAATTGATCAATCTAGTTAAAACTCAGAACAACACATGTCAACGAACAGTACTTTTTTCAAGTAAATCATATCACGCTTTACTCTGAAATAAAGATTCTGGTGGTTTTGTCTGTCCTTTACAAAGGCTAGAATGGCAGACACTTAGTAATACATTGGCTAAGCTATCTAGTAGTGTGCCCTCAAATAACTGTCTACACACGAGCAGCTGAATTAAGCCTAAGCTATACATAAAGAAGAAGTTCGTACAGCCATTAGGATTTTACCAAATGGCGATATCACCGATTCCCCTTTTTTGAAATTTTTTATCCCTTTCTTATCAACTCATAATCTTATTACGCCTTCATTAAAAGGTGGTATGTTTACGATGTAGACAGTCCGTTTTTCTTATCTTCTTCTTTACTTCTTTACTTCGGCTATCTCCTACGGGAGGATGAGCCGGCTTCATGAACGTCTCGAATCATCGATGCCCAGGCGCGGCAATTTGTAAGAGAGTTCATGAAGTTTCATGGGAATTTGGTACGAGTGATGTCCCCAGAATCGCTCGGCCTTTTGTTTGAGAGTGCAGCTCTAGCCTTTACACAACCAAGTGTGACCTACAAGGCAGTAGGAGTGGAGTAAGGAGTCCACTATCCATTGGCAGCCGATGACCGGAGTTCGGTTCATACGCCTTTTTGAATGGGGCCAGACATCCAGGACATCCAACAAGCCCTTTGTCCATACGTCTGCCGGTGAGCTCCAGTGAGCTTCATACGCCAATCGTTGGAGGTTTGGAATCAGGGTTTAGCCATCTCCCCTAGACTGTCATCCAATGGACAATCAACCCGGTGGAGAGCGCCAGGCATCCGCTTTCGCCCTCTCACTTTGGTGAAAAACACCTCCGCCACGTGAAGGCAGTGAGTAGGACTTCCTCAGGAGAGGCTATGTAAGACGCCCGGTCATATGGGAGCATTTCAAGAGGTGAACGGAGGGGTGGCCATCACTGCGATCGATTTATATTCAATATTCACCGGTGAAGTTATTTATATCAGAGTAAAATCTGAAGAGATCTAAATGAAAACACTATTGTGTTCTATGTGCGTTGTTTCGTATTTTACTATGGATATTTATATGATCTTTGAAACGTTTTGAGCTACTTATAAAATATAAGTAGTATAAAAGAAGTAGTAAAATGTTGAAAATTGTTGTGGTGTATTTTACACTTATTTTCTTGGTGGGATTGTCTAAAATAACTCTGGGTTGGAGTACTGAAAGTGAAAGGAAGTCATATCAAGGTGCGACTAGACATATATTCCTGTTACTATTATTTGTCCCATGGATTCAAGCAGAATATTAGCACTATAGCAGAACATCACCACTCCACCCTGTCGTTTGCTGTCTTTTTTATCAACTTCCATGACTGCCCATATGCTTTCATCTCCCCATCAGGTGACCTCGTACATTCAGGATAAAATATGTGTGCCTTGAAATTGGATTTATTTTGCTTTAGTACCATGGATTCGACTGTATATCTTGATTTACTTAGGAACCCTAAAAGCAGTCAGTTTCAGTGATAAAAAAGTGATCAGTATATGTGAATCTCAGGGACAATCTGATTGCCAATTGTTACCACTCCAGGAGACATTCACTCAAGTTTTCACATGTAACTGTTCATCCTCACTTGGAATTCACTAACCTTTCTAATTCATTGTCTCTTTTTCTCCAGTAAAATGAGAAATTTATGGTATGCATAAACTAGAATACACTAATGTGTGTTTTCGACCTGGCGCACAATCATACTCCTGTCTACTTCAAGAAAAATATTAGGCCGCGTCATCACGGAGTGACTAGAAGTAGCACTAGAAGTAAAATTCCATTCCGAACAAGTTGGATCCATGAAAAGAAGATCATATGCTGACCGAGTTGAGATGCTATGCAGTCGAATGTCTACCTCAAATCCACTATTTTTGAAAATACCTTCGGTAGCATCGGTCGTCAATAATTTGGTGATAGCTTCAACTTTACGAAGTGCAGTGAGGTAAACCTTAATAAACAACATTCGACATTTAAGTGGTTACTCCACATACCAACTGAAGTCTCTGAAGTGGAACATGATAAGATAAGACTGCGTACTATCGTCGGTGATACTCCTGACTTTGGTGGACTAGATCATATAGCATACCGTAGGGATTGAAAAGTTATGCACACACTGGACTGACAGAATAATGTAGAAGATATGAGTTCTATGGATGAATTATGTCTGATATCACACAAATTCGTAGATATACAAGCGAAAGGAGGAGAACCATCCAGGAGTGGAAATCAGAGGGACAAAGAAAGAGTAAGGGTGGGGAAGCTACTGAGCGAACAATAAGAAACATCGATCACTACCGACAAGAGATACTTACTGCAAGATATTTCATCAACCAACTTGATATAGTCACCAAATACTGGCGGTAAAACTGAGGATGTCAAAGGTAGGATAGAAAAAGCGAGAGAAGCATTGATTACTCTAAAAATCAATGTGAAGAACTGATGTTCTCATAACAGCAAAAAATACTAATTTTCAACACTAATGTTACCTCAGTGCTTATGGGTCACCTAAAGCATACTGCTTCACAATTACATCAGCAGCTGCCTTCTCGAGATTGATACTAAAGATGAAATAGCCTGACAGAAAAGACAAGCAGCACCGAACTCTGGAAAGGAACCAACCGGAAACCTATTGCTCAGCAAATATGCCGAAGAAAATGGAAATAGATAAGACACACTCTGAGAGGATTGTTGAGTGATATCGCCTGTCAGGCCCTGGAATTCAACCTGAATGGAAAACAAAGAAAGGAGAGTTGTTCTGAGGTTGACATGGAGCAAATGAAAACTCGTGGGCATCTATGCAGCCGGTTGGAAGTTATGCGAGAAAACGGGTGCAACAGAGATATACTGCTGAAACCTCATGTTCCATTCGGAACCTGGGGGAAAAATAATAGTAATAATATGGATAGGAAAGACTAGAGACAAGCGCGAAAATTTGTATATTCACATGACAGTATATGATTTTTTTGATATAATAAAACCCTGGAATGAAAGTTACTGAAATACCCTTGCCATATCATGCATAATTTGCCGTATTCTATCGTGAGAAAAAAATTTAAACTCGTATGTATAAAAAATCTACCGTTGAATTCTTATTTCAGTTCTGTGACGAAATGAATTTCCTAAACAATCCGATAATTTGTTCTCAAATTAATTTGCATTTCCCTTTGATTGATTGTGTTGAAATCTCTGCTGACATGCCATCTTCTCCTACTGACGCTTTGGTTATGTCCAAGGATTAACCTGAAGTCATTTTGTCTCATGATGACTAGCAGTGGAATCCAGGAAGCGTTTTCCATTGTATTCGGAACTCATCAGCTGGATGCACCTGTAACTTCATTGAGTGAAAATGCTCCCACTGAGACTCAAATCCCAAACATATGGTTTCAAATTCTAAATTAGTGGGCTAAGATGGACACGTGAGCCAACAGAATCAATCAATGGGAAATACAAATTAACCTAAATAAACCAATAACTTATACCTGCAGCACAAGAAGTGCCTGTCCGTTGATGGGTGGTTTGCGTCGCAGTAGAAGTGCAGGCACATCTAGCTTACGGATTCCAAAATGGACGAAATAAGCGTCCTAGATTTAAATGATTATCAAAATCAACCTAAATGTGGTATTTTTAT